TGTTTGTTTTTTTAAGCTCTTTAAGAAGGTTTAGAGAAAAATTGGGAAATTTTGTGTTTTAAGGGTCAAAAGTGAGAAAAACCAATTTTTACCCCATAAAACCCCCCATAAAACCCTGTTCCCATGGTCCGATCATGCTGGATCGCGAACTCATTCAAGTTTATCCCGCCTTACACCTTCGAACCAAATTTCATCAAAATCGGATAAAAATTACTCAAGTTATCGTGTTCACGGACACATATATATATATATATATATATATATATATATATACATATATAAAAATTTGAACGAGTGGTGTTTTTGGCCTCTGGGGACATCAAAATGAAAAAGTAAATCGGTCCCGGGCCTAAGTCTTACCATGAGACCTACGGTAATAGCTACTTCCCTATAGGGAAATTCGCTAAAAACTATTGGTTTGCATATTTTCAGATATGCTAGCCAAACTAACAATACAACAAACAAACTATATACAAACAAATACAGTATCTGACAGTTTCAAGTAAAAAAAAAATGCGTAATAGATCTATGAGGGGTACACTTCCATATCTGTTGGCACAAACAACTAAATTAGTAATATTGATTATTCGATTGTTTAATTCCATAAATCGTTTAAATGGTTTACCAAACAATATATAGTTAAAATACTATACCTCAACCTCGCCATTAAACATTCAGGTTGGAAATTTCACTATCAAAGGTGCTCTTGGCCTGTCCGTACGGAACACTGAGTTATATGTGCTACCAACTTATGAATAATTGTTTAAGCCTACGAACCCAAGAGATGGATAATTGGTCTGTTGGACGTATGGTCCAGCGAGCAGCACATAGCGTTGAGAAGACACATTAGAAATACGATTTGAGCATAATCCGTAAACCTCTGTTACAATCACCCACTGCAGTTGTCTCTAAACACTTTACACAACCACCATTGAAGTGCCGTCAACGAGTTGAAACCTTATATGTAAGCTATTGGTAACGCTTATGTAAAAAATGTAAGTTTCCCAGGCATATAGAACACTGAGTCAAAGTCTTTTCCCCGGTTATAAACCCAAAACTCGATAGAAATTCTATACACAAAGAAGCTCTATTTTCATTTACGGTTACCCTACACATTATTGCACTTGCGATTAATTAAATCCGTTATGTAAGGAAAAACGGTTTTAATCCAACTTGGTTTGGATTTGCTTTTGAAACTTGATCTGAAATGATTGCGGTATTTGTAAACAATATTCAATGTAAACATATCAGTGACAGCTAGAGAAAAATAATCTTGATCCGAACAGCTGTTCGCTATTTCATATGATGATTATGTGATAAACATTGTGAGAAAACTTGACAAAAATCGCACAAAATTGGGTTTTAAACGTCCGTAAGTTTTTTTTACAAAGTAGCGAGGCCATATTTTAATAGCTAAAGACACTTTCGCCAATCCAGTGAATACATTAAAATGATTCGAGGATCTTGATAGGTACTCTCGTTTTCAGGAGAAGGCCGCGTAAAATGGCCTTTGGACCGTGACAGACGGAAGATAGACAACAACGGAATTGAGATAATAATTGATGATTGAGATAATAACGGAATTGAGATGAAACTTTTTTCGGATTCTTGAATGTTTAAAACGTAAAAATAATCTAAAAGTTGATGATTCTGGGCAATGTACAGACAAAACTCTAATTTTATTTATATAGATTAGTACCTGTGGTGATTTTTATTAGAAATTTATTGAAGTAAATAAAAAGCAAAGTTAAAAACCATCTGACCAGTGTTTTTATTTAAAAAGTACGTAGGCCTATTTGATTGGCTTTGTTTTCTGAACTAAAATATCTATTTCCTGATCTATTTTTAGTTCCTGTTTTCGAAACATAATTTGGCAAAACAATTATTTATTCATTAAACAACTTGATCGAAAAATAATTTCTAAACATTGGAGGACAATTAAAAAACTTTTGCATTCTAATAAACCTAGCTGCCGTACCTGTGTTTTACATTGGAGAGGATTTTGAAGAGAAAAAGTTTGATACACGTCACATATTTCAAATCCCACTCCAAACACGTCATGTTAATACGTTTACTTCCTTAAATTAAGAAAGTCACAATCTCCAATTAACAGGCTCGTAGCAAAAATTAAAAGTTTCACAATTCGAATAGTTTCTACCTTTTGGACCGCAAAATCAAAGAACTTTATTGACAGCATTTAAAGCTGACTTCGTTAAACATTCTGTTATCTACATTCTTCAAAAATGTAAACATTGTGAAACTTTGGAATCCCATGGGGCGTAACTCAAAGAAAACACGTTAAATGTAATCGGTATATTTGTTAACCAGGTACAGGGCTACCTCTTGAATTGATATAGATAATAAATCGAAAAATAAAGAAATATAAGTTGATTGATTATTGGCTCTTACAAAAGGGTAAACAATCAAGGAACATGATTTAATTAAGTAACCACACATCACTGAGTCTATATCTTCATTCTTTCTTGTAAAAATCGCTTTGATTGTGGCTATATAAAATAGGGAAGTAATATTTCACTGTACAACGAGCTCAAAAGCTCGAGAACCAGCAATAAGATGGAAATAACCGGCAAAACCTTTAACCATCCACTGGCTCGCTAGTCGCTACCCCAGGTCGGTCGGTAGCCGGGTAGCCCATCAATGGAACCCGTTAAGGCTCGCCCCTACCTCTCGCCACAAAAGAGACAAGAATTTTGCCTTGTTCCACACGCCTTTGATTGTTTGAGGCGGGAAAACTATTTGTGTGCTACGGCCCGCGCAACACAGGATATTGTTTTCGTATTAGTTGGCCTTTTTCCAAGATGACCGTGACCGTTAACTTATTTTATGGACTCCCTTGGAGAATAATTCAAAACTACAAAGAACATTTCTAATCCCACAGTATACTAGCTATTTAAATTATAAACACTTTGGTGTTTGAAAAATATTTTTGGACGATAAATTTTGCAGCTTTTTGAAATCATCCAAGATGGCCGCTTGCCTCCAAGGACTCAACAATAGGCCTAATTGTGCGACTATAAAGCAATAACTTCCCATCTTACGCTTGCGAATTAGTACGGTACATATTTGTATCCACAGTTGCCATGACGACTATTAAGACGACCAAAGATTACATTGACATTTAGGTATTTAATCTGTAGAATAGTAATTGTTAAGTAATCTGGAAGACAACTAATAAAAATGAAGTGCGAAAGATGGGTTATGAGAGTGCTCAATGCCTGAAGCATAATCCATTTGTTTGAGGTGCGGATTTCCAAGCTTGTAGAACAAATAAATATCACAAAGTAGAAGGGCAGGAGTGAAAGTGACTGAAGTGACGGGATACCCGGGTGGATTTTCAGTGACTGGATTCCAGTGGTATGCGGTAAAATATATAGTGACTGGCTTAGCAGCACAAATTTTACGTGACTGGCTTTCCCATGCAAATGCGGTGGTGACTGCATTAGCATAGCATTTTTTACGTAATTATATTTTAGTATTTTTAAGAAAAAAAGAGATATATACGTTCAGATATGTCTAAGCTTAAGATATTTACCAACATATATTATATATATATCATAGTCTTGAAATATATTGGGGGGTGCAACTGACTGACTTCCAGTGTATATTTTATGTGACTGGCTTCCCGGGCGCGGCCGTGTGTATATATAAATATACATATATAAAAATTTGAACAAATGGTGTTTTTGGCCTCTGGGAACATCGAAATGAAAAAGTAAATCGGTCCCGGGTCTAGGTCTTACCGTGCCACCTACGGTAATAGCTACTTCCCTATAGGGAAATTCGCTAATAGCTACTTCCTTATAGGGAAATTCGCTAATAGCTACTTCCCTATAGGGAAATTCGCTAAAAGGTTTAACAAATAACTCTGAGAATGGCAAAGCCGCTATTTTAAATACTTGAACTAAGTATAAATTTATTTTAGAACTCATTTAAGTCAAAAGTCTATAATTTTAGCGAATTTCCCTATAGGGAAGTAGCTATTACCGTAGGTGGCACGGTAAGACCTAGACCCGGGACCGATTTACTTTTTCATTTTGATGTCCCCAGAGGCCAAAAACACCATTCGTTCAAATTTTTATATATGTATATATATATATATATATATATATATATATAGACTTATATATATATATATATATATACGTCCGTGAACGCGATAACTTGAGTAATTTTTGTCCGATTTTGATGAAATTTGGTTTAAAGGTGTAAAGCGGGATAAACTTGAATGAGTTCGCGAACCAGCACGATCGGACCATGGGAACGGGGCTTTACGGGGGGTTTTATAGGGTAAAAATTGGTTTTTCTCACTTTTGACCCTCAAAACACAAAATTTCCCGATTTCTCTTTAGACCTTTTTAAAGAGCTTAAAAAAACAAATAATTTAGTATATAAAAGTATTTTTGTTCGATTATTAGTAACGGAGAAAATTAAAAAAATTGTAAATTTAAAATTCCCATGTTATTCTTATGGAGAATATTGTCAAATGTTGTAGTTTGCTTGTTTATGGATATATTTTGATCAAACTTGGCAAATTTATTTATTTTGTACTAAGCTATCAATATTTTACTCAAAAACACACTTTATTAGTTTCCTTGTAGCAGCAAACCTAGGTACTCGTTAAACCTAATGTTATTAAAATATATTTCACTGAAAATCAATTCAGACAAATGGAAATTCGCTTAGTCGGCAGGTTTGCTGCGGTGGGGGTATTCTAGTTCTACACAGCTCTGCTGAGTTATCCGTGCTGCCCTGTTGGTCTAGAGGACAAGTCAAGGCTGCCGTCCGCTGCATAGTGCGTAACAGGGAACAAAGTAAACAGGTGGAGATGAGAACTCAAGTGTTTACAGAAAGAACGATATTAAATAAACTAGCTGCCTAGAGGCGGCATGGACTTAAATACGTCCCTGATCAGGCCTACCTAATTAATTAAAAATCATAGTTTGCATAACTGTATGAATGATAGCTGTTTTGTTGTGAAGGGTTTGGACCTGGAGTGGTGTAAGCAGCCTGACTCTGGTCTCCCCAAACCAGACCTGGTGTTGCTGCTCAATCTCACGCCTGAGGCTCAGAGGGCGAGGGGAGGCTTTGGGGCTGAGAGATATGAAAAGGACGAAATCCAACGTAAAGTCATAGAAATCTATAAAACACTGCAAGATTCATCTTGGAAGGTAATTCACTCTACATTTGTTGCAACCTATTTTATTTTTGTCAAAATATTGCACATCTTATTTTCATTTTTAAAATACTTTTTCCCTCCCCCTTATTACTATGGTGTGCACTTTTGTGTGATTTGTTGACGGAACAGACTGTGAAGCTTCAGAATATATGTTGGTGTAAAAATTAGGTGAATGTGAAACTACAGAAATTAATAGCAATGAAACTACGATACATATAGATAAAACTGGACAGTGGACAGAGACATCGAGTAAGAGATTTAAATTTTGACATTTTAAATTTAGCTATAAATATGGGCCAGAACGTGTAAAACATCAATAATTTGGAGTCCACTTTCATTCATGCAGGTTTTAGTCATTTTCATAAAATCATCTATTACACGTCTCAGCATTTCACAGTTACCATTAATTGTCCACCTGGTTAATCGTGTCTTTAAGACCCATCAGGGCTTTGGGTTTGTGAATGTAGACACACAAATTGAGTACGCCCTGAAGAAACAATTCTCACACGCTTAAACCTAGTGACCTTGGGACCACAGAACATCATTGAAACGTTAAATAATCCTTCCTAGATTAGTAATACACACATACACACCATGGCCATTGAATACTGAGCATTGTGAAGGGTGGATCTTCTTCAAACGTTTCTATCTCGCCTGTGACCGTGACCTCATAAAAGTGATTGAGCATATCAATTTGCGAATTAAAGCTTGCTAAACCGTTTAAAAGTAATTTTTTGGCAAAGCTTTTTTTTAGGATTTGTAAAATTTTCTTTTAATTGTTAATTCACCTGAAAATTGTATTTTGGTTGGATCGCCATTTTACATCATAGGAAAACATACATTGAGTTTAATGCTTCATGGCCAATAAAATGGCATAGCATAAACTAGTCAATGACATCCCTTGTTTAAATAACTGTTGCTCGTATACTATCTGTTTGAAAAACGTCAGGTTCCTGACGGTCACTCTGTATGAATCCTGATGACTCCGCTAAATTTTATCCAAACCTATTGTACTTTGGATGAATGAGCAAGAGATGAGAGCGACCCGATCAGCTGTTTGATAATGGTTTACTATTTGAGTCTTCTGGTGGATTAATTAATAATCCTAGTAGTTCATTCTGGTAGTTAATTCGTAATCCTAGTGGACATTATTTCTGACATTAAAGACTGGGCGAGACCCTGCACCCTGTTGGTAAACTTATTAACTTTTTAAATCAAATTACTTAGTTGAACCAGCTGTTAAGATTCTTTAATTCCCTTTAAATATGAGTACTCATAAGGTTAACATGGGAAACTACAGAGCCATTGGGCGGAGCCCTTTTGACGGATCTGCACCAAACTTCACACAAACCATCCTTGAATAATGCTTAATAATGCCTGAAAGTTTAACATACATTGGATTATATATATATAGATTAGAAGATGATTTGACTGGTTTTAATTTTTGTGACATATTCTTTAGGAAATCGATGCAGATAAATCTGAAGAAGAACTAACAGAAGAACTGTTATCCCACATTACAGAAACTGTGAATGAAAGTAAGCTGTTACCACTTGGAAAACTTTGGTGATCAAAATATTCTACAATATTTGTTAAAACAAGGAATGTGATATATTTGAACTTTGTGTGAATGAATGCATTTTGTGTATTAATGTTGTAGGTTTTATTTATTATTTTATTTTATTGACCAACTTTTTTATAACCCAAAAATATCGGTTACCGCAGACCTCCAGCACAAGTTACACCTAACAGAGTTTGCTGTTGTGAACACTGGGGACAATTCCTGGATTTTTTCATGAGTTCCGTGACCACTCTGACTATGTTTCCCTATATTATTCTGAATAAACATAGTTATGATAAGTGTTAACTTTGGCAATAAAAATACTGTGTCATAAGTAAAATGAAGCAGAGTGTTTTAAACCCTTAACACTAGATCCGTTTTGTATCTTGAGCTGTGTGTGTATCTGATAGGTCTTTAAATTGAGTTTCCTTTAAAACAATAGTTATTTGTACTTTCTTCTTTTTATTTTTAATAAGGTGAAAGGAAGAACAAATATTTTCGGGTAATTTGCCTTGGTATTACTGTATGTGGCTCATGACCATGGCCAAGGCTAGATGGGCTCTCATCTAGTTGTTGTCAGGAAGTGTCAGTATTTCTTACATGACTTGATTTTCCATGACCATTTACGTTAGCTGAAGCAAAAGGCTAAAAGGTAAGGTAGGTCGGTGTTGGCATAGCCTACATAGGTAGCTTTTGACTGGAGGTAGTTCAATACCAAAATGTATTGATTCTCGATGCCTTTAAAAATCTATTTTTTATCCTCGATACCTTTTTTTTATTGCACCCGATTTTCTTTAAAATTTTTTTTTTCTGGTAAAATTCTAAAAATATCTCTCAGCAATAAGGGAAACATCATCATCGTCACCCATGATGGAGGCAAAATATTGACCCACGATCACTGGAACATCATCATCGTCTTCTACCATCTTGGTAAAATCATAAATATGTCCCATCAGACATGAAAACATCATCATCGTCTTTCCAAATGCAGAAAAATTCTGATAATTTTTCGCGGTTGTACACATCATAGTTTTTGACGATGGCGGCAAAATCCTAAATAACACAAACAACATCATAGACTTTTGCTATGGTGGTAAACCATGAACATCACTGGGCGTCAGACAATATCATCTTCCTCTGTGATTATAACAAAAATCTGATCACCTGCCGCAGTCAGTTAGACATCATCATCGTCCCGCGGTTACAGAAACGTTATCCTAGTCATCTGATTCTGATCATATGATTCTTAGACATTAGAATAAAAGTTGAGAACTGATACATCCCTACTTTTGACCCTGTGTTACTGTAAATGAAACTTCTTAAAACAACTCATTGATCGATTTACGTTACACTTTTTAATGATTTTCATATGTCGTAAAAAACCACTTTCAAGTTTAATTAATAAAATAATTTAATAACAAAATACAAACATAAGTCACAAACATTAAATGTCCTCAGTGTACAATCTAATTGTATACAAAGCAATAAAGCATTCATTAACATGTTACGTAATATGACAAATTAAATATTGTTAACCTATAAAATATGTTTATCACATTATTTCTACTGGAACAAAGGCATCACAACTAAATACAAAATTTTAGTACAGTACCAAACAGTTTTTTTGTTTGGTTGCTAATTATAATGCCAGATTTTAATGGATTTTACAACTCATAAACACTACTTCAATTGCAGTTTTAACATTGTTATAAAAATACAATACTCATATTTTGTTAGTTTTGTAGTTATCTGAAGAATGTGTTGATATTTTGTTTATAGTATATCTACACAGATTGATTGTAAAATCTACTTGTTTCATCATTAACTTACTGTTAAAAATGCCTTAAGACTATGAAAGTAGGAACAGTCTTTGAGATATAGTCGGCAAAATTTATCAGCTTGATATATTGGCACTTTTGCTATTTAATATTTAAACATTCATTCAGAACACTATTTAAAAATAAATTTAGTTTTTAGTCCACAAAATTACATTTATAAAAATAGTTTTACTACAATTACATAATTGCACCATAATATAAATAATAGGAAAAACTCATCTACAGTATTTATTACCTGTTCATGTTAAGAGAACAGAGAACTAAATAAAATATGGTGAAAGGTTTTTAGATGGTTTAACGTTTTCATTACATCATAGCAAAATGATGTACAGTACATGTAAAAATTAATACCAATGGCAATAAGGTGTGTAATTTTCTTGAATGTACAGGGTCCGAAGACAGTTCAATATTTTGTAAACGACAACAGATAAATCAACAAGATTTGGTACATCAACACCACACATAAAAATCTACTTTTTTTTAAAATATCAATTTTCTGTCATATCATGGGTACGTCCCGCAAGGAGTCAGAAGGAAATCTTAAATAGAAGCATAGGTTGACATGTACATCAAATTAAAGTCTTTACTAGTAGAATTAATGCCACAAATTTGAACTCTAACGGACAACCGAGCCAAGAATGACAGTTGTTCAAAGATTCATTTAATTTGCATTGCTATTATACGCTTACTCCTCAGGGGGCACAGTTCTAGGAATCGGAAGAAAATTATTAACATAAGCATAGGTCGATATGCACATCAAATTAAAGGTCTTCTCTAGTAGATTAAATGCCGTAAATTCAAGTTCAAAAGAACGCCTGAGTAAAAAATGGTGGGCGTTCAAAGATTAAAAATAGCAGATTCAAGAAATCTTTGAACGGCTGCCATTTTGCGCAGGATCAACCTTTTGAAGTGCGGTTTGCGGCATTGTATTCTACTAAAAAAAGACCTTTCATTTGATGTACATATTAATTGACCTATGCTTCCTTTAAGATTTTCTTCTGACTCCTTGTGGGCCGTCCCCCTGAAGAGTTATTGGATCACTGAATATGTGTTAAGATACAGTTTTATGCTCTGTAACTTTGTACCAAGTATTGTAGCTCTATCTACATTATTTTTTAAAATAATTAACTGTCTTCGGACTTCATTACCAACCTGTATACTCTTGAGATAACTATTATTTTTATTGGACTCTCCTTTCAAAGAAAACATAAAAGAAAAGGTACCACATATTAAGCTATTGAAGCAATACCAACTTCTCATCCTGCCAGTTTAAATTCTTAACAACAAGAAATTCATATTAGCATGACAAAAACTAGGTTTGCTTGTATTAACTTTTAAAATACTGATTTGTTAAAACATATCTTAACAACCTTCAATCAAAATTGTTTTCATAAATTTGGCCAGACCAGTTTTACTTCCAATCATAGGCCTATTTAGAACTCTTTGCCCAAAACACGGTATTAAAAAGCACATTTTGTAATTCACATACAAACAATAACAAAAGTTTTCATGTAGTTACTTGAACCCATTGTTCATTTTCTAATGTTCTACCTCCACCTCTCACTATAATGTTACGTTGCCTAAAGCAAAAATGTATGTTTGGTACCCAGTTTCAAAACATTTTCAATAGAGACTAAAATTCAGTATATTTCCAATATCACAGCACTGTAAGAGATTGATCAACGCCTAGGTGGTCCTGTAGTCCTAGGCTTGGCCCCGCCACCTGTGGGTCTGCCGCCTGCTGCTGGCTTTGGCTTGTTGTGCAGCATATTGGCACACTTGGGGATGTGCCGCTCGGCCGCGCCCTGGTTGAAGCGTCGTCCGCAATGAGGACACTGGACGTAGTCAGAGGTGTCGAGAGGTGGGGGCGGCGGCAGGTCTGCCAACTTGCCTCCCCTCGCCACATGCTGCTGTGCCTGCTTGGCTGCTCGGATGTTGCTAATGAACTCTTCATGTTTACGGCGCCAGTTTGACTTTGCAAGCGACTGCAAGCAAATAATACCAATAATGTAGTTCAGCTGTGAAGACAAATTTGGATATCTGGCAAGTATAAGCAATACCCAGAATTGCAGGCATAAAACTATTCCATATTTTAACACTTGATATCTTTCCAGTCAACTATGTGGTTAGTTTAGTCACACTACGGTGGCTAGTCACGTCGTGGGCACCTATGTCTGTTAAACGCAGTTCAGTTTTCTAATTTTGTAAAGATGCCATCAAACAGTGAGTACATGCTATTACTAGCTTTCCTGCTAAAGAGAAGAAGAAGAAGACATCATTTTTTAAATTACTCAAATACATCAGAGACGATATAGTAGGACAAAAGACGTTCTTGAGGGAACCCATATCACCAGCATATAACCAATGTGCGCATCGAGCTGCATGGCTAGCCATGTTGCCGGCCACCGTAGTGTAACCAGCTGCCATATAACCAAGTGTTAAAAAGTGCACTTTCAAACCTTGGAGCAGCCATGGCCCGGTTGGCCAGCGACTGTTTTGTTGAGAACAGCCACTGTGCTCGTGGCTGTTTTAGCCTTCCGAGTCGCTCATTTTTGGCCACGCCTAGTGTAACAGGATTCATTTGATTCAGTGTAAACATTTGCACCTGTAGCTAAGCCACCATAGTGTAACGGGCGCCTTAGTGAGCTACTACTCAATGTGAATGGCTATAATATTTATCAAAAATACGTATCTACAAAAAAAATTGTATACCGAAACACTATGAGCTCAAAATTAAAGGATTTACTAGAACCTTGCACATCTCTGGAATATTCCCTAAGTTTCTGGGTAGTCTGCGGTGAACCTTATTGAGCTAATATTTGAAAAAAAACCTAGAAAAACATACTTTACTCTGAATAGATAATCCTTTTCCGTCTATTCCAATTCCTTTACCAAGAAGGTTCAGTCGCCTTTTTTTTGATCGGTTGTTTTTCTTTAGGCCTACTTCAAAAACCAATCTAATCTTTCTGGTTCCAATCAAAGTGATTCTGTTACAACAGTTAACTATTCTTAAGTAACTTGTATTTAACTAAAATGCAGGTTATATAAAAATTGATAACTTGCATGTTATTGGCAGTTCATTTCAATCTTAAAAAATGAAATAAGTTGTTATTCGAAAATAGTGTGAGTTTTGGAAGTGAGAAATTTGTTCTAGGCTGTGTAGGTTTACCCCTGACTCTCAGACTATCACGGTCCTATGAACAATCCTTTGGTTTTTTTCACTTCATTCTAATATAGAAATGCAAACACCACTATAACTTAAACAGCTCATAATCATCACCTTTCTCTTACACACAATTTTACACTATACTATGTACTGACCGGTGGTGGTTGTGTTGATGTCCGCCCTTTCCTAGCAAACTGTTCAAGTTCTGTTCCCTTAACTCTCTGTTTTGCAACATCAAAAGGTTTCCTCTTTTTGCGAGCTGTCTTGACACAGATTTCAGCATGGGCTTGGATTCTGTCGGGGGCAAAACTACGGTTGCAAGTTTTGCAAGGTACCAGGTCAGAGCGGGCCCCACTTGTCGGGCCTACAGGGGCTTTCATGCCCTGGGGACCCCGTGCTGCCTGCGGGGCCCTAATTTGTGAGGCCCCTGCTGTGGTGCCTGCACGTGGCACTGCCCCTCTCGTGGTTGGTGGACCTCTGTTCATCTTTGGTGGTTCCTTCTCCTGTGACAAATAGAACAAATGAGTGGTTAAAAAATAACTATGTTAACAAATAGAACAAATAAGTGGTTAAAAAATAACTATGTTAACAAATAGAACAAATGAGTGGTTAAAAAAAAATGTTAACAAATAGAACAAATGAATGGTTAAAAAATAACTATATTAACATTATTATTGTCTATATTTTTTTTTTTGAGGAATTAGAAAACAAAAATTGATCATAAGTTCTATTTGCAATTCTCTTCTATCAAGCTTTTTTAAGTACGTACCTTACAATGACATGGTAGTTTACATGCATAATTTGTGAATGTGAGTTTGGGTTTAAAAGTTAAATTAATTACACGAAGTAAAAAGCACTGTCCAGTCAAATTACCATGCCACCTATAGTTTTCTAGATAATTAATGTTGTAGCATCCACTTCTTGCAGCATATTTTATATGTAAATACTCATAGAGCACAAGGCAGGGCTTTATACACTTTGTCAGGACTAGGCTGGTCAAGTGCAAGGGGTTTACGGTCACATACTTTTCTTATTCTCTAAATGTCTTTGGCAATCTGGTCACAACAGCACTTTTGGAAGGTTGTCATCTTCTTGGCAGGGTTGACCACTACATCATGTAATTTTTGTTTATTAGTTTGGACCCTAATTCTTGAAGAACACCTACAGGTGAATTGTTCATTTAATATCTAGTCGTAGCTAATAGTTCCTGTGAGTGTGTAAACCATTTGACAAATAGGTTTGCTATTTACAATCCTAAAAGATAATCCTAAAGTTACAAATTGGTTTTGGAACTGGCTGTTATCTAGTCGACTACTGTGTTTTAATGAGCTTTACTCCTCAGTATTAGTCATTAAAAGTTCTTAGTTGAAATAAAAAAAATACATGTATCAAAGATCATTTTAAATTTTATAGCATTTTCTGCCTCTTTGGCTTGTGAAGTTGTACATTTGTCGTATAAACTGCCTTCCATGCTGTGTAAACTTGTCACACAGTTGTGTCGCTTGAATGTGCGTCCAACAAAAAACATTGTGGGAACCTTGATTGAACCCCCCTGTTACGATTCAAAATATGATGATAGTAAAGAAAATTTGCTTTAAAACTTTTCATCCCATTTTGTTTGAGCACTGTTGACACAATCATATCTTTGGTCCATCTAATCGTAATAAGCGTCTCAATTTATTATGCAGGCTATTTTGCTGATCTGAACTATTTGCTGCTCTTGTTAAAACTGCAGTTACAAAATGATAATATACTAGCTGGCCTGACAGACGTCATCCTGTCCTAATGTGGTTTTACATCAAATGCTCGTTTTCAAGATGAACATGTTCGCATCGCTCAATCACGTCCTGGATGAAGTTCGTTCGCTACGCTCACTCAAATTTTGTTTGAAAATTAGCACATGTTATTGTATCCCACAGTTTAATGAAAACATTTTCCTCCAATGCTAATGTAAAGGCATTATTTTTAAATTTTAAAAATCAAATTACTAAATAACGGTTGGATGTATTATAAATTTCCTTAGGTACATAAAAACCTTCCCCTGGCACTAAGGAACACAACAAAAAGAGAATCATCCAATTCGGTGCACTCGTTCTCGAGTTATGGAATACCATCAAAAAAGGGATTCATTTTTATTTAAATAGATTAACAGTGAAGTGAAGAGGAATATACTAGGGCCGTTCCAAAAGTGACAAGCGTTTGGTCACTGTGCAGGAAGTAGTGGAGGAGGTATTGCCTTCCTAAGGCAAGTGCGGTAGATCATTCACAGACCAGCTCAAGGAATTGCTTTTGATAGACATCACAGATGTATCTCCTAATGTCAATTAATGGTTCATTTCAGACCAGCGTAGCATCGCGTTGCGAAGCTACATAATATGCATCTGTATTCATACTTTCGCTTCTTATCTTTTGCTTGCATGCGCTGTGCTAAATGACGACCATTAGCTCTGTTGACATAAAAGTATTTCTGCCTATTGATTTACAGTCTATACCTCTCGCTTTGATCGATAAAAATATCTGGATTGAAAAACCATATTGGGGCAAAATCCCGTTTATTTGTCAGTTCAAGATTATATAGTACAATGACGCTAATCTTTGTGACTAAGCATGGGAAGAACCTGCCAACAATTTGAAAAATTATATACATTATACATTGGCAAACTGGAGCAGAAACCTGGCTCACACCACGAAACTGAAAAAAAAAAACACTAAACGCCATGTCACTCAGTCTATCAAAGATCTTAAATTCAATAAAGCTCTGCAAAAAACAATAAACTTGAAACAAATAACCAGCTATGCACTCGACCACAGCTCAGACTGTGAGCAAAAACAAAGCATATAAGAGCTAGCTTTCGGTGTGAACTGTTCTTAGCTTACAAAATAATATCCAAGATACGTCTCCCTAAAACGTCGCTTAGACAAGGCTACGCCGTTCTGAAACAATCTTGAGAAGTGTTTGTTATAATGATAGCCCCCTGCTGTAATCACTCATGAAAAACCTTGTATGACCTAAACATAAACTTGGTGATTTTACTACCTGATTGGCTCGTGAGGGAGGATCAGACGCTGGCCTCGGTGGGTCCCTGTTGTTGTTGTTGGCTACTGTGTTGTTGCGTGGTTTCAGCCCACTACTTGGAGGCGTGATGGAGGGTTTTGTGCGACTGTTCACTCCAGGCTGGGTTGATGCCTTTACCTAAACATAAAGTAAATCTAAATGTTTTTTTTATGTAATACAATTTATTTAGTCTCAATAACAGATTGCTAGTAGAATTCCTATTTGAGGTCATATTAATACTTTTGACTGTAAAATCAAATTTGTGTTTTTAGATTTGTTGCATTGTGTGGAAAAAGATCATTAATCGAGTCATAGTTCTTGTGAAAAAGTCCTGCAAGATATTACCAGTTATTAATCATGAGCTTACAATTATTTCTTTTTAAATGATTCCATTACTTGTAGTCGTGAGCTTGTGGTTGGTGTTGGTAGCCATACTTTTTCTTCTATATTTATACTATATTTCTTCCCCAACTACATTGAGTTTAGATATATATATTTATTATTTAACAAAATTTTCAACTTTTTATGAATTTTTAAATTAAAGATATTCACCTTTCTTTCTACATTCTTGCTAAATTTTTACAATTCAACTCATAATATGATATTTTAAATATAATTTTGCTTTATAAGGAAATATTTTAATTTATTGGTTTAAAAAACTAGGGTGATAAACAACTTTTAAGACTGATTTATTATTGCACAACAGAAATTAATATCTAAAACAAGATAATTGAAAATATTTAATTTTAAAAGTGATTGGAAGATATTTCATTGGATTGGGAGTGTATAGATTTTGATTAGCTAAAACAAATGTCCAATATTTACTCTTTCCAATAGTGTTGGGCAGCATAATAATAAGGTCAAACAAACAAGATTGTGTTTTGAATAATCGAGTTATTTTGGATTCAATTATATGCTGTAATTGTGTTCAGCACCATCTAAATTAATTAAAATTCTGCTAAATTAAGTTGCATCTCAGCAGCCAGAAAGAGTAACTTTGATTAAACAACCAGTTATAATTAAATTTCATCAGCTTGACAAACTTTGAACTTCTGTGATTTGGTATGAAGCGAGGAGACTAGAAAGGATTTATTTCATAAACTTTGTTTATTAACAACTTTGTGAGGACTACTTAATATTTATACCTGTGAGGTAATAAAGCAAAAATGTATTACTTTCAAAACTAACTGAATAATCTTATTACTTCTAGTTTTAGAGGACATATTTGCATATCTAAAATTAACCCATGTATTCTAAATCCTAATAATATAGGCTATGTAGGCACTACAGTTTTAGTTTCCAATTCTCATTACAGCAGGTTATTTTTAAAGCATGACCTGGGCATTACATAACCATACTTTTTTTAGGAAAGCCAAGAAATTACCTAATCAAAGGGCTTAGAAAGAGGTAGGGTTCAACTAAGTTAATAAATTGTAGACTCCAGGAGCTGGTAGGCCTACATAAACTATAAAAGGACTCACAAGAAGTCCTGTAGTAGGATAAAAGTCATTGTTAAGTTATACAGTATGACCTTTTATGTACATACTGTATTATGTACTAGATTATAATTTTCCAGGAAAGCTAGCTAAACTATACTCCTTTCCTTAAAAAAATCCAAAATCATTTGATTGTTAACATTGCACAATTATACTAACAAAACGGTTACCTGTAATGTAATACCCTGTAGCAAAAATAATATAATGGTAACCATTTGTGTAGTACATGTTCAGTATGATGTTCAGTTGGGGGTTTTCATGATGTAATTCTAAATAGCTTTTACTCCATACCAATATTATATTGGTGCTTTAAACTACTCACATAGTATTTAGTAGACATTCGAGAATGATTATGATGGATATAGATCACTAAGAAGAATCATGCACACTTAAGTTTTAATTTAAATTTTTTTTTTTTATCCTGGAACTTGAACTGGAATCTTGCAACTGTTTAAAACCATAGTAACAGTAAAATACCAAATTACCAACGAGGCATATTCAGTTGTATTGCATAGTCCCCAACGTATAAGGAGACTCACAATAATCCATAAGCAAATGGATCGATAACTACGGTACTTTACAATACATAACTCATGAATGATTGAACGCTTTCTATAATTTTCTGTTAACTACTGACTTAAATCTATCTATCTATCTATACTATTATAAAAAAGAGGTGGTGTCTGTGTGTGTGTATGGGAAAAGTAAACGCGAAAACTACTGGTCGGATCGGGCTGAAATTTGGCATGATGATAGCTCACATTCCCGATTAACATATAGGCATATTTTTATCCCAAAAATCCTTTCGGGCTCCGCCCCAGTGGCTCTGGAGTTTCCCATGTTAACCTTATGAGAAATGAAATTATTGAATCTTAACAGCTGTTTCAATTAAACAAGTTGGTTCTGTTCTGTGATGTTCAATAGCATTAAAGTTACAAGGATTACCAACAGGGTGCAGCACTAGCACTATTATTTCTTTTACATTTATGACAACAGCAAAAGGTGAGTGAGCGTAGCGAACGAACTTCAACCTGGAGGCGAGTGAGCGTAGTGAACGAGCTAACCTGAAGGCAAGTGAGCGTAGCGAACGAGCTAACCTGAAGGAAAGTGAGCGCAGCGAACGAGCTCCAACCTAAAGGTGAGTGAGCGTAGCGAACAAACTTAAAAAAGAACCTAAATTTCTTAAGCCATGTCCTCACTCATAACTGCTATAAGCATTTGATACTTATATGCCAACCCCGTACGAAGGACGGGTACTCTGCTAGTCTATATATATAATACGCTAAGCCGATTTTTGTAAACAGAACTCCTCCCTCATTTTTGGACCGATTTTGATGATTAAAGTGTCAATAAAATTGCCGTGATCTGTAGTTTTGCAAAGAGTTTTGATATCTTTATTAGTTTGGGCAGGATCTTCCATCAAAGTTGGGTTTTCTCTTTCTCCCATAAGATTAACATGGGGGGATCTTAATATTTAATTGGAAACTTTGTCTCCACTAATTTGAGAGAACGGCTGGGCATAGAAACTTGGTATAGGTGTCCAAGGAGAGGTCTTGGTCTGTAGATGAGTTATCAAAAGAAAACAAAGTAAATTCGCTTAGGGTTTTCCCCTAGAAGCCTTCAACCCACAGATTTGTTTACATTTTGGTAATGTGGATAATACTTTTTAATAAAACAGCTGTTAATTTTAAAATTGTAGCCTATTTTAAACAACACAAATTTATTGTGAGTTACTGAATTGTCTAAAAGAAGTATTTGCAATGTTATTTTCTGATTTTAAAATTTATTGATTTTCTTCTGTATCATGTCATGTGTTGCAATATAAAGTTCCACTACGAAATCAGTGGAAAATCCTTTTATCAGAATAACTCTTACAATTATTTTTTAATTGAACTATCTTATATCTATTTTACGGGTCGGTGTCTGCTTTTTTCACACCATTTCTCTATATTTTATTATATTATTCTAGACAGGTCATCATAGGCTCATGAGATTATTGTCATGCTTCAATTATTGGAAAATCTTCAACTGTGTAATACAATACAAAATAATACAAGTGCAGAAGGGCGCGGTGCCCATTTGAGCGTCCACATTTTGTTAAATTAATAGTGGTTTACAGCAACTGGATAAACATTTTTACAATATTTATGTAGAAATATGTGCATGGTTTAGAAAGTCATTAAGCTGGAAAACTGCAATATACTGCAGACTTCTCAGAGGGGTTACTTCGATGTATTCATTCAGCTTAGTGAAAACATAATATAGATATGTATTGTGTATACAAATAAAAACTTTTAGAGAGCCTTTGAATGTTATTAGACTAACGAAAAGGGTTGTTCATGTTTACTAGCGCTACTCATCAGCAACAATAACCATTCAATTTATCTCTAAAATATAAACAATGCTAAATGCTCATAATATGTATAATTTCACTCAATTTATGGCAGTTAGAATAATTAGCGTAAGTCTTGAAAGTAACCGTCGATTTCGACGGGTTTCACCTCGTATATCTGTAGTTACGATAGATAGATATCTATATATCTGTATTAAGAAGATAGATAAATTACCTCAGTCTTTTTTGAAGGAGGTGACAATCTTGACAGTGCCTTTGTGATTGATCCCACTTCTGTGATTCTTGTCTCCTTGGCCGGCGCCATGCTTGCGTTGGGGTGTTGTTTTGTGGCTATGTATGTCTTGAATCTGTCCGTAGAGTCAGACAGAGGAGCCCCTCCTATATTAGGCAACTTCCTGAACAGTCTGGAACTGTCTAGGTCCGTCACTCTAGAGAGGTAGTCATTCTCATCTCCAAACACAGGATTGTGTTTGAGCGCTAGCTGATCCAATGGCTCGTAGCTTCTAGAAGATGACAACTCATCATCTCGCCGCACCTGACTCCGTGTTCGCCTCACCGGTTGTTTCCATACGTTGTTGAGGTTGCGGTCTAGGCTGCTCCCTCGTTCTCGCTTACTGTCGTTGATGGGTTCCAAGGGATAGCTTTTATCCCACCCTGCAGAATGGTGATGGTTGTTACCCCTTCGTTCTTGAAACAACTGCCGTACCTGAAAATTAGGTGTTGCAGCAATGATTATTAAAGTTATGTAGTATAGTTTCATTCTAATGTTTAATCAATTCATAAGTGGTAGTGAGTGATACATAGGCTAATGTAGTAGTAAAAAGAGTGAATTGGATTTCCTAACTCTATTAATTGAGCAGAGCGAAGCACTTATACTACACTCCTGCTTTTGTTTTACAACTTTTTTGTGTTACTCCTCCTGAACGGCTGAAGCGATCTACTCGAATTTATCACAGCCATAGTAACCAACCATGGGAAGGTATAAGTCTGAAATGGTAGAAATTGGAGCACAGGGATTTTTCCCTACGTGAATTTAAACTTTTAGGGGCGGTTCACGAGTCACGGGTTATCCTTAGTTCGAGCGCAAAATTCAGTTATAGCCGTTTTTTTGCGCTGCGGCTTAGAAATCGGGTTCACGAGTACGAGGTTACCCCGCGCTCGGGCGCAGGCAGTTAAACTTGTTCCAATTATGACAGGGATAAACCCGAGCGCAAAAAGTCGGCTTCACAGGTTCAATTGGAGAAAACCCCGGGCCAAATGTTGGGTTCACGAGTCATGGTCTAGCGCAAATTGGATAATCTCTGGCGTAAATAACAATGGTTTTGGACTTAAACTTAACCCCGCTAGGGGGCAGGGTTAACTTGACATCATGTCGGGATTATATCATTTGCTCATTTATTGATTTTTGTTAGCAAAAAGAATGTTATATTATTTGAATTCACCATTAAATTCCGAACAATTTCATTACCCTCAACTTGATATTTATTTTTTTCATTTATTACTACTGATTGTTGAAAACATACGAAACATTGTAAAAAGTTCCGGTTTTTAATTTTAATTAATTACTAAATAAAAATATAATTATTAGCTTAAAATAGGCCTATTTATATTAATTTAAATTGAAAATGAATTTTATAACGTTACTGTTTCATTTATTTTTATCACTTTTGAACACTTTTATTTCAGCCGAAATAAAAATGGTTCCGACAAATACTGTTAGGTTTGTCTAAGAATTTTTATTGTATAATTAATATAGGTCAATTTATTTAAGTTTCCACATTTAATTTTGTATGTTTTAAATTATATGTTTATATTATGTTTATGATTAAATAGTTGAAAGACATTTTATCTGATAATTTCTTAGTATTTGTCATATCGGGTTTTACAATAAATTGCTTCAATTTGCCGAGGTAAAAGGTAAATTCTATAGTTAAATATACAAAACAATGTACTACAACAGTAAAAAAAAATTATAACCTGTTTTCTTACACCTAAGATTTCTCATGCTTAAAGTTTGAGTAATTCCAGTGAAATAAGATGTAGCTACATTTCATATTTTGTTGTGGTGTTTCCGGACCAACTGATTGACAAATAAATAAAAGGTTAAAATACCCGATTGTCGCCTTTGTGGTCCAAAGTATTGTCCTAGTGGATTATGTACAATTTGGCGCGAGCGCCATCGTTGGATCTGTATAGGACAATACTTTGGACCACAAGGTAACAATCAGGTATTTTTACCTTTTATAAATTACATGCTGAGGTTTTGAAAAGAGCGCAAAATACTAACTAGGGTGTCTACTGCCATCTGATTTAAAAATTCCAATCCTCTACACAGTTATACTGTAATGAAATATTCTAATATCACTTAGCCTATTACTATTGTTAAATATTTATTTGTTTATCAATAAAAGAAAAATATCTACGTCAAATATATTGAAATTACTTTCAAACAAAAACATTTACGTTTTATATTATTATTTTTTACATGAGGTCATCACGACTCCTATAATAGCCAGTTGTTCCTCCAAATTTATTTTTTTCACAAATTACTGATACATAAAAGATAATCATAAATCTTCAAAAAGAACAGCCATTTTATGAAATATTTGGAATGTTTCGATAAAACTGCAAACCTGATGAGTATGTCTTATATTTGAACTAAATGTAGTTTGCAAACATTACCAAGATTTGTTTTGACAAATTTTATTAAAAACATAATTGTATTTTCCCAATTCAATGACATGATAGTAAAAGTTTCATTGGAATCACACCTCAGGTGTGGTCTGTAGCTCTGTACACATCCACACATCCACACACACACACATATACATCACTTCGAAAACTACTTTTTTTGGTTCAGGGGATTGGTTTTTTCAATGTCTGTAAAAAAAAATTCTTAAATATGCTTGTCTACTGTCCAGAGCATATTTTAAGGGATTTTCACTGGGTGACAGTGTCGCCGGACTTACCTTGGGGGGGGGGGGGGGTCTGGGGGGTATGGAATACCCCACCCGGAAATTTTTGCAAAAGTTTAAGTGAAAATCACACATTTCTACGTATCTTTTAATGCATTTTTCGATTATATTTGCTTGTAAATAGTCCATATAATCTCACTTAATTACGTATTCTAGAACGTTGTAACAGGCCAAAGCTCCCTTCACAACCTCTTGGGCCAAAATCATAGCTCAATACTCAAAAATATTTACATAATGTTATTTTTTAAATTCCGATACATTTAAAATGTGAATCATAACAAAAATATGCCGGCACCACCCATAGTCACTGGGCGACAAAATCTCACCACTAGGTGACACTTGTGTCGCCCAGTTAACATGTTATTTTATGCCCTGCTACTGTCTACTTTTCCCCCTTAAAATCAACTTCTGCTAATAAATAAATACCTGTTCCTTTTAGCCAGTAGGTAACTAGTCTGCAAATTGTTATACTTATGGTTTTAGATGGTTTGCTGTATGCTATAATAATTGATCAACAGAAAAAGAAAGGTGGAAAAATGTTGTTAATCTTACCTTTCCACATCCAGGACCAAATCGTTGATAGCCTTGATGTGCTTGTTCTTCATATAAAGCCAGCAACTTCTGCTCCTTTTCCTGTAACTGTTTTTGCTGAAACCTTGCCTGAAACAAAAATTAACTTGTTTCAAGCCTGTATTTTTTTATTAACTACTAAAAACAGTTCCTTTAATATTAACATCTATTATTTTTAACAATCTAAATCTAGGCTAATTGTATTCCCAAGGATGGTTGAATGGAGAACCTTTTATTTGAAAGGGGAGAAGTCATATTGGGGATTTACACTGCAAATATCAATGCTCATGGAAAAACAAGGTTAACCTTAAGACACTGTTATATGTGCTATTATACAGAGGTATCATAACAATAAAACTATTTACTAGCCTATTACTAAACTTAAGGATATTAGGGGAGGATGAGGGTTTGACCCCTAATCTCCCTGTCTACGGCCTTGATTTTTATGTTTCTACTCTCCCTCCCTATTAGAGGATATGGAAAAGTATAGTCACCAAAACATTCGAGTTTGAGCTTTGGGTGGATATAGGACGTTTTGGGTCTCCCTGAAAAAAGTGGTTTTCAAAGTGATGGCTATGTGTGTTTAAAGTGTACAGAGCTGCAGACACATCTTTGGCCCAATTTCTAAAACCTTTTTTTGTATGTAGGAACTGATTCCATGTTATCTCCAGACTTTTTTTTTATAAAAAAAATTTACAAAAACAACCCAAAACGATTTGGATTAAAGTTGAGTATGTTATTGCCATTTAAACTGTAAACTTAACGGTACAACCATCATTACTGTAAAAAATTACGTTTCAACATTTGTTGTAACTTATGATTTATGTGATTCTCCTATAAAAATACCTCATAAAATAACAAATAGGTCGGATAAAAACTCCTCCACCGATTACAATTCAAATTTATTATGTTACTGTGCTTATAATACTAAACAAAATGGTAAAACCCCCATTGCTGTAGAATGAGGGTTCAAAGTCATTGCAACTTTTGTGATCTTCCCCATAAAATATCATAGTTCCCTAATCACCGCTTGCACCCATGATAAAGGTTGTTGACAAGCCATAATGGGAGAAAGTATGTGTCAGATATTGCTGATACCGTTTGATAGTAGATGAGCTGTTATAGTGCTCTGCTCGCCTACACTCAAGTTGCCGGATCGATCCATAAGAAAAGTCATCAATAGCTTCTCGATGGTTCGAAACTGTACCCCTCCGTTCCTGATCATTGGACTTTTAAATTAATGATCCTGGATTAGGAAACAGCTAATCTTAGTCAGTAAAAAACAACACAGATCATCTCACACCAATCTACACTCGTATTTGGGAATACGCTCCATGGGTGGCGTTCCCATCTCAATGATTGAAAATTGTAGCTAAAAATATATCCAGGCATAGTCATTTGATGAGTTTAGTTAGTGTATGTTTAAAAAACCAATCTCGCGTATATAAAAATAACTATAAGAAATTTGAACACAACCCTTAGTAGTAAATAGTAATGCGTTTCCTTGAATGCATCTTAAACCTATAACCAATCACATGATTAACTAATTTTGCCTAAAAAATATCGGTAGTTATAAATATTGTGGCAATTCTATATAGGCAATCACTAATGCCAAGTTTTCCTATGAGGGCTCTAGATTCGTGAGTGGGTATGAGCTGTAGGGTACACAATAACACTAGCAAAGACGAGCTCCAGGCGATTTCAATTATGAGACAAAAGCTAAGTAGTCTACAGAAATATTTAGAACAAGTATCGGTAACTTTTTCGGTACCGGTACGAGTTTTGAAAGAGTTTTTGTATCGATAGAAGAAAGCTAGATATTTTGTATTCACGTGTTTGTGAAATGAGTTGCCATATTGTAAACAAACTGACTTGAATGGCACAAATGCATTGAAATGAAAAGCTAATATTAGTACGGTAAGTAAAATGGAGTTGGAAGCAATAATAAGTCATTTTGATCAGGGATTTACCCCAACCAAAATATAAACAACTGATTATTATTAATTTATTTTTATCAATTACTAGCAGAGTACCCGTCCTTCATACGGGGTTGGCATATAAGTATAAAATGATTATTGCAGTTATACTCAAGCTTTGCGTTTGCAATGAGGGTTGACACAGTTTGATAAAGTTTGCTTCTTTAAATTTACTGCATACTATAGTATTACACATCTACCATAGCCATAATGTTCAACCACTTCACCTAAACAATACAGAAAAATAAATTATTAAATATTCGCAAAATATCACAAATTACTAAATTAAAAAATTGAAAATAAAAACATAAACATAACTGTAAACAATCCTACCTTTGACAGTTTTCATTGCGTATCACAGTTTTTTGTTGCTGCTTAGTTCAAAATTAGCAAATTAGTGCTGCACCCTGTTGGTAAATCTTATAACTTGTAATGCTTTTGCATTATAGAACCAACTTTTTTAGTTGAAACAGCTGACTAAATTCTTTAATTCCCTTTAAATATGAATCCTTATAAGGTTAACATGGGGAACTACAGAGCCACTGGGGCGGAGCCCGAAAGGATTTTTGAGATAAGAATATGCCAATATGATAATTGGGAATGTGAGCTATCTTCATACCAAATTTCAACCCAAACCATTAAGTAGTAAATGCGTGATTGAACTTCAAACAAACAAACAAACAAACTCACAAACTTTCACATTTATAATATTAGTAAGATCAACTATCAGTTTTGTATATTGAAATGATAAAAAAATAATTATATAACATGATCCAGCTAAATATTTACCCTTACTTTATAATAACGCTTGGAATCCTATAATTTTTGTTGAGATCAGCCATCATTAAAACTTAAAAGTGTCTACTGTAATTTTGTTCAGGGTGATCTATTTAAATCACTACTATTTTTCATAATCTAAACTGACATTACCACGGATTAGAGTTTTACTAGAGTTGTGTGTTTCGAGATGTTTCAGTCCAGGGAGCCGAAACCCCAATCCACTGGCCTGAGGCTGTTCTACGACCAGGTCCTCTTCAACCACAGTTGCAAAATAAACTCCTAGTGGAATACTATTATGTCGTAAAATATTCAACCTATGATGGTTAAATCGACGAATTTTTTTTATTAATTAACTTAGATGTAATCTGGTAGATGGTAGGCCTACATATTTTATTCAAAGGTTTATTGCTGTCTCGCTTTTTTACATTGTAGTATTTATGCCAACCTAAATTCAAATAGTAAATATTTCATTTCAACCAAGTCAGTTAATGTTTGTAGCACACGTTTCCTTAAATTGCAACTAAAATATTAGCTAATATTAAGTGATGGTGAGTTAATGTTGTTCAAAGGTTTATTGCGGACATTTTCCATCACAATGGTAAAAAACAATACACAACGTTTCGGGATCTGGAATCTGATCCCGTCCTCAGGTGAAAAAAAGCTTAACTAACACATTACAACTAACAATACACAAACGCCCAACTTAAGTTGGAATACACTACAGAGGGTAGCAGTAAAAAAATATGCACTGTATAGCAGTCAAGTCATGATACAAGATGCAAATAATAACCAATCACAAAACACTACAAGCGATCTATAGTAGCGCGCGATTATCTGTGCGATTAGTGTTCCATTGTGTGAGCTGTTCACACTACGCCTTTTATGGATAGATTGTAGTGTTTTGTGATTGGTTTTATTATTTGCATGTTGTATCATGACTTGACTGCTATACAGTGCATATTTTTTACTGCTACCCTCTGTAGTAAAGTACAAGATTAATAAACATTAGCAATTCCTGCAGATTTTAATTGGGTTCGGGCAAATCGTTACGTAATCGAACTAATTTGCTGATAAATACATCTATTGACTCAGCAGATTCAAGCATTAACCAAAGCTAACAGTATTTACTGGTTGTAAGTGTGTACACTGACAATTGTCGGTGCATTGTTGATGTGTTACCTGAGTGGAGTACGGCGCGGCGACGACCAAGGCAGTCACTGACTATGTCCTGTGCCCACCTCGTCTACCGCCTCCATACACTGACTCACCGCACACCGGGCACACAACACGACTGCCTACACAGACCCAGCTACCTGCCCCCACTACACCCGGCATCCAGCCGAGACGTTATAGACCACAACTAGAGTTAGGATAAATATACAAACTGCAAGTCTGCTAGGGCGATGGAATATCTTCCATTCACAAATAGATATCATGAATTATTCCTTGATGGACAAAGTACCTCCACCTCTTTGGAGGCGTTCAAACGTCTCCTAAGGAAATAGGTTCATACCTTCTTCATGCTGTCGAATATTTGATCCAGGTACCTCGTAAAGAGTAGTTGATAATGTTTTGAACAACTTTTAACAGTACGGTATACACCTAAATCACTACTAAAGATTACAAGCAATAAAATGATCAAGCCTTCAACATACGGATCAATATGTGAATTAATTGCAGTGACTGACTTGTTTGACTGTTGGCTAAAAGTGTCCATGAGTAAGGTTTGTGATTAATGGAATACCTTAACATTGAAATACAAATCAAAGTACTTGGTTATGTTACATCAGCGGGAAAGTGCTCTAAGCATTTTGAAAAGCGGCCCGAATCTCTTCATAGACTTTTTGTAGACGACAATTCTGAGGGTGATTTTTTTCTAATATCAAGGAACTAAAATAGTGATTTTAAGGTAAATTCGTCCGGGTAGAAAACGTTGTTAAAAACAGTTTCATGTATGCCGTGTTTATTTCTATCTTCCGATAATTATTCTAAATTTTTACAGCTACGTTTCACACGTGATACCTTTATTTTACTAATCTCAAGTTTACCCGAGCGAAGATCGAGCAATCAGCTAGTGTTGATACAACAACGAGTAGAATAAGAGGAAAATATTGGAATAATAACGAGAGAAATAAAAACCTGTTTCCTCTAGATAAAAATAAGCTTAGTAAGCGATCAGTGCATGTATGAAATAGTTTTATCTTTAAAACAGAGCGATAATAACTCTTAGTACTTTACTATATGTTTGACGTAAATTAGAACACCAAGCTTCAGTTGTTAAGTCATTAATCTCGGGATGGTAACAATTACTGTTACGGATTGAATATGTAGTTA